GAGCGCCTTCTCTCTCTCTCTCTCTCTCTCGCTCTCTCTCTCTCTCTCTCTCTCTCTCTCTCTCTCTCTCTCTCTCTCTCTCTCTCTCTCTCTCTCTCTCTCTCTCTCTCTCTCTCTCTCTCTCTCTCTCTCTCTCTCTCTCTCTCCTCTCCTCCCTGTCACTTTCTCTCACTCTCTCTCTCCTCTCCCTCCCCCTCCCTCCCTCCCTCGCTCGCTCTCTCTCTCTCTCTCTCTCTCTCTCTCTCTCTCTCTCTCTCTCTCTCTCTCTCTCTCTCTCTCTCTCTCTCTCTCTCTCTCTCTCTCTCTCTCTCTCTCTCTCTCTCTCTCTCTCTCTCTCTCTCCCTCTCCCTCTCTCTCTCTCTCTCTCTCTCTCTCTCTCTCTCTCTCTCTCTCTCTCTCTCTCTTTCTCGGTCTCTCCTCTTTGCATTAATGCACGTAATATGTGTATATATATATATATATTTATTCATTTACATCTCTCTTTCTCTCTCTTTCTGTGTTTTCTCTTTCTTTCTCCCTCTATCTCTTTCACTCTCTCTTTCTCGCCGTCGTCTCCCTCTCTTTTTCTCACTCTCCCACTCTCTCTCTTTCTCTCTCACACTCTCTCTCTCTCTCCCTCTCTCTCTCTCTCGCTCTCTCTTCCTTTCGCTTTCGTTCTTCTCGCTTTCTGGGAAAGCCCCCCTCGCCCAGGCGGAACTCAGGCAGGATTGGGATGGCCTGGCCCTGTACAAGGGGAGCACCCAACAGTTGTGCACCGTCCCGTTAAGACCTATGGACAGGGTGCGCCTGAAAAAGCTGGTGCGCGGCAAAGCGCTGGGTTCATTCTTGCGTGCAAAGCCTCCATTTGCGCCCGCCTCTCAAGTCTCATTGCTACATTTTTTGTTATGGTCCACAGCAGCTTTCCGCCCGGTAGGTGTGCATTAGCTACATGCTATGCCTCTCACAGGCTTTCCCGCAAACAACAAGGACATCTCGAATGCTAAGCTCCTGAAGCCAAACGATCCTGAGCGTTGGATCCCGTATATTGGATGCGTTGAGTTTGTTTTTGCTTGCCGTGTGGGTCAACAACAAGGAGACCCTTTTTTCTGGCACCACGCGTGGCACCGGGTTTCCTATGTGGCGTCATTCTGCAAACTCTCCTCTGGCTTATCCGGCCGAACTTGTTTGACTCTGGAGATATGGCTTGTACAACCAGTTCCGAATACGGGGATGATCAAGCTGGTTACTTCTCCGACGAGCAAAGAAATTCCATTGCAAGTAAACATGGAACCTACAGCAGCATCGTTTTAGAGGAATTTGTTTTTCGGGAACCCTTTCTGGGGTTCCATATTATTTTGTGCACGGGCGTAATCCACCATTCAAAGCTCGGCGGTTCCCAGCGATGCCGTTAGGCTTTCAGATTTCTGGGGGATTTGTGACACACCCCACTAAAAGCTTAACTATTCGAAAAGAAAATACCAAGAAAGAGGATCCGATTTCCATACACGCATTCCCATTTAATGTGCCTCTTCAGGCGGCTGGTCGCATGATTGGCCGGGAACCAAGGGTTCTGCCCAGCATTGGAGGGTGAATTGTCGTCCCGCTGCCACGGCAGATTAAGCAGAAAGCAATGGGTTTTTTTGAGCTTTACTTGTCCGAGGGCAACCAAAAAAGGGTATGGGTAAAATTGATATTTTTCCAGACTCCTGTTTTGCACCTAGAGTATACGTGTTTGGGCCGAAAATCAGATCGACGGTTCCTTGTTCGATGCTTAAATAAAGTGAGCGGATCTTTGTGAAATGGTTAGGTTACCTTGCCCCCCCCCCAATTCAAGGATCTCCGGTCCAAAAACTATTTTCAGTTTCGTCTAATTGGTGGTTTGGATTGGGTTGGTGATTGGGGGTAGGTTTCGCATTTACCTTTTAAATGCATCATGAAGCAGATAAATCTGAACATGGTATGATATATTGCCTATTCTGAGCATAGTATGAATTATGTGCCCCAGATGGCCAAGGTTTAGTGAGATGGCAGTATTGCCTTCATTGACCAACATGGAGGACACCATGTTGGTTGATGTCAAAGGGAATCTGCAAAAGTTGTCGCATGTCAAACTGTCGCAAACACTCACTATTGTTTTGTGTCTTTCCCTTCAAGGTTAAAGGTCCCCGAAGAAGCCCCACCCAAATATCACAAGCGAAGATCTGCCTAATGAGAAGTGAGTCATTGCCCAGGCTGTTTTGCCGGGTAAGTGATCCTTTCATCGGCCATCCGATTGGGGATTAAATCAGGCCCTAAATAGGGCCTGGTGTGGCCTGGTGTTTAGGGTGGTTTTGCCTGGAATGATCCTTGGACATGTGTGTCAAAGCACGGGGTCCCAACAACTGTTTGGTGGGTGGTTTGGGTTCTCGTTTTCAGAATAACTGCTTTCCACCAGTGGACGCCCCAGGAAGGAGCAGATGTCCGTCGAGATGTCGATGATGGCTCCGTGGATGCAGGTTGGGACCTGTTTTGGGGGTGGGAAAGAAAACAATAATGAAAGAAAGAAAGAAAAGGGTCCAAAGGGAGTGTCTCAAAATGGTGGACCTTCTTGTGGTTAGTATTTATAGGTGCGCCAAGCGGCTTGCCATGTTAGAGGACCTTTTAGAGGACCTCTTCCTGGACGTTGTGCTTTTTGGGAAGACCGTTTCAGTGGCAGACAGCAAGTTCGGAAGGGTCGTGGAAGGGTCTCCAGCCTGTCGGTCGGTCAGTTCTCTTGTCGAACGGCAAGCCTCAACCCACCCTAGATCAACGGATCACATGCATTGCTTTCATCCGCAAACCCACCCTAAAGAAACCCTAAAGGAAACGCCTTAAGTGCACCTCTACACCGACCCTAAACCCGCCTCGACGGAACTCTCCAGAAACCTTAAACCCACCCAACCCAAACCCAAAGCAGCCCCAAACCCAACCGAAACCAGCCCTGAAGCCACCCTAAACCTGCCTTAAACAAAACCTAAGCAAACCTAATTCCGCCCCAAAACCAGCCCCAAACCAGCCCTAAACGCGCACGCCCGCCCTATGATCATGAACTTCGATTGCAGCGAGGCACCAAGTACGATCCCATTTTACTACGTTGCATGGTATCCTCAAACGGTAGTCTGATGGAATTGAGTGGAAAGCAAGGGTGCAACTGGCACCAATCTTTGTCCTGAGCTTTCCCCACGCTTTGTGGCCCATGCTTTTCACCCATCATCTTGTTCACACAACCAGATGTCCTGCAGCCTGTGGTTTGGAGGCACTTGCCAGGATGGCAGCAACTTTAAGGGATGCATTGTTGCAAACCAAATAACGCAATTTCAGTAGATTCTCATTTAAATCAACCATAGATGAACTTATTTGAGATCAACCGTTCCAACCCCACTTAACCTTACGCAGTGATTTGGAAGTTGTTTCTGTCGGATGGCAAACCCAATATTTAGTGGCCGCATCTCCCACTCAACCCATGGTAGTGGTTTGGGGGGGAGGACACCATCTTAGATTCGGACCCCTGTCACGGGAGGACATGTGTCCATAATGTGCACGTTAGTTTTGGTTGGGGCCAAACATGAGGTTGAGAAGGTTCATACATTCGGCTGCATATCCCATTCAACCCCCGGAGAACTTGGGTATGTGTCAAAATCGGGGAACTCGCAGAAATGACAGTTGTCCTTTCAACCAAGCTGAAAAGGGTACCCTCCAACAAGCACCATATTTACATATACATATATGTATCTACACATACAATACATATATATAATATATATCTATATATATATATATGTGCTAATCCCCTCCCTCCAGGGCCTACCTTGCACCGAATATATATATATATATATATATTTATATATGTACATATATAGATATATAGGATTTTTTATTGAATCTAGCCTCCTTACTGGGGCTTATGCCACTGGGCTTACCCTGGATTCAGCCGACCCAATCGGGACGGTTTTTGTTTGCAGGCTGCAGGCGCCGGGCTCAGAAGGAGAGGCTTCGAACGACTGGCTGCTACCCCCGGCTTCGTGTGGTTGTAACGGGAAGGCCAAAAGGAAAACCGCCATAAAACAGGGGGCCCACTAAAAACAAAGACCCACTGAGGGTCGTGGTTATTCTTCGTTTTTGAAAACCACCATAAAAGGGGGGTCCACAAAGCAAAATACACACTGGGGGTTGTGTTAAGGAAAACTAAACGGACACCACCATAAAATGATGGGGGGAGGGGTCCTAAAAAAAGACCGGCAGTTAAGATGTTCAGCGGCCTTCCGGACCCCATCGCCGTTTGGACTAGGAATGTTGCAGTGGTTGGGGCGTGGTGGATGTTGCTTCATTTTCCCTTTCAAGCACAGTGAAATGTTGAACATCGAAACAAAAAAACACTGCTTTGGTTTGGTGCTTGATTTTCCTTTGTTATTTTCCTTCAATCTGCGCAAAGTTGTCACTTTTGATGGGTCTCTCTAAGAAGAACATGGTCGAAACTAGGGGGTTGCTTTCAGGCTTCATGTTGGGGATGCATTGGTGGGATTTTTTGAGGGTGTTTTGAGATGCATGAAGGCAAGGATTATTAGTTCGTGATTAATTGGTTGTTTGGGTTCATGGTGTTTTGGTTTGGCATGGGCTTACAGCCTCTACTCCTGCATTGGGGAGGAGTGGAGGTTGCAAGCAGGACTTTGGATTCTGCACGGAGTTATGCTTGTCCGGCTTGTGTGATTTTGGGAGAATCTCAGGTAACCCCAGGGGTGGGTGGCGGCTTGGATATTTGAAGCTCTGGAGTTGGCAACGCGAACATCCACCCCGGAACACCTAAGCACCAGCCACCTTGAAGGCTATTGGCTTGGATCTTTAGACTTTGACTTTTTAAGAAATCAAGGGGTTTTCCAGTAAACCCACAAAGAATTGTAAACTTTTTGCACGGGGGTCAACAGCAACCGAGCCACCATAGCCGAGAATCCCTCGACCGCATGCCAGCCACTTGGCTCACGTTTCCGGTCGTTTGAGTGCCGCCCATGGCGCAGTTCTGGCCCGACGGAAGTGCCTCGGGGAGAAATCGACAAACTCCCTGAGTTCGATAGTGAGGACAGCAATGGTTCTAGCTGTGCCTTCCCCATTCTCTCAGGGGTCCTTCTCTTCAAAGAACAGGCCAAATCCCTAGGAAACTGGGCGGTTTCTAAAGAGAACGATGGGTGAAGAGAATGGGGAATCAACCCTTAGAATTTTAGTTTCACAGACAGTTTGGATTTTTTCGGCGCAGTAGATCCTGGTTTGGGTGATTCCAGTGCTTACAGTTTGGGACTTGTAGTCAAAGTAATTTGGCTAAGCTGTGTCCCTTTTTGGTGCTTAAAACCCCTTGCCTGTGTGGAGTTCTTGGTTGCCTTTTCTTGCGCCCGATATCGACTTGCCGTGTTCGCAAGAAACAGAGGGTGCTCTTTTGGGTTGTGTTTAGAAGGGACACCAACGGTTGACTCCAACTTGGGTAGAACTGCACAACTGCCTCAAGAACCGCACTTTCACTCGAGAGCTCCTCTGAGCAAACAGCAGTCGCCTGTTGACGAAACAAGGCTCCGAAAGTGGCCGCGCTTTGAAGATGTACCCTGCCTTGCTGCAAAGTCAATCTACTTGTTGGTCAGCCGAGGAAGAATGGCCACAAGCAAAAGAGCGCATGTAGGGAGTGTACCACACTAAAGATCCATTCACGCTCAAATGCGCATTGCGCTTTTGAGACTCTTGAGTTCCTGTGTGCATGCAACACAAGCTCAACCTCCTCCCCACTTGATGGCGGCCTGGGATTAGGAACCCTCCCCCTAGCAACGGAGGTACCCTGAATAAAGTTCCCCGGCCCAGGTCGATTGATCTATATTGCTATAAGTATTGCTGGGGCCAATTTTGAGTTTCCATGTGTGTTTTAGTACTCATGGGGCTTCCTTGTTGTTCTTGTTCAGGGGCAGGCAGGGGGCTCCTGGAATAAAGTCGGGGATCAACTCTCGGGCCCCTGAAGTAGGACCGATCCCCTTTGCTTTTTGTTTAAGCACGAGACATGATAGGAAGACATGGAGTTTGGGAAGCGGCAATATGTTGGATTTGACGAGCAAGCCCAAATCTGGCGACAACGCCTGAAGCTGCACCAGAGTCTCCTCTTGTTTTTGTTCCCTGTCTTTATCTCTGCTGTGTTGGTGTGTTTGTTGTTTCTGTTCATGGGGTGGCTGGCCGGGGGGGTGGGGGGCGGGGGGCTCATGTAGTCTTCTCGGGCTTGATCACGACACACTGCGTTGCCACAAACCCTTGCCCGGAAGCCACATCCCTTTGGCGGCCAACAAATTATGTGCCGGGTGATTTGTGTCATATAAAGAGAAGGAATGCACGTCGTTGTTTATGTTGGTTGTTGTTGTTTGCACAGGTGAGTTGATGAACTAACCGTTTCCTCCCAACAAGTATTTCGGGCTCCCAACAAAAATATGTTTGCCTGGTGGCAGAAAAGAAACCACTTGTTACTAGGCTGTATCAGGGTAGCAGGGGCTTCTTGTTCATGGGGTGCGCCCTCCCTTTGCAGGCCCAAAGCTGGTTCTAACAGCAACTTCCAAAAAAGGGTTGGAACCATCAGAAATCTGCGTTATTTTTCGGAGTGTGCTGATTTTAATTTGGTGCAAATTTTGATTAGTACTGATTTCGTAGTTGCTTCATATTGGGTCAGTATTGGTTCTGAAGTGCCGAATACGACTGAGTTGGGGTGGGCAGGCAACTTGCTGGTTTAGAAGTTTGGAATTCGTTTAGTATTGGCTAGCTCAGAAAGTACAGATTCAGGGTCTTGGAAACATAGTATGCATTTATCTACGGAAGTTTACAAGAAACTTCTGTGGTACCGGCGCTAAGTGAAGGCTAGCTGTTGTTTGAAAGTAGATGAGAGCGAAAGGAGAAGAGAAAAGAAGACAAGAAAGAAAAGAAGACAAGAAAAGGCTGTCGTGACAAAGATAAAAGAGAACGGAAGGAGAAGAGAAGACAAGAGAGGCAAAGGGAGGTGTTCAGATTGCGTGCCAAGTGCAGTACTTGAAAATACAAGGTGCTCAAAGTGAGCGTTCTGTACGCGCTTCACGTGTCAGGGAACCCCAAACCGACGCCTGTTCGCAGGTCAACGGGTGCGGAATGGGCTTGGCGCCGGGCCCATTGGAACGGAAGGCGATTGCGCGTTTGCACCGCGAGATGGCCGGCGCAGCACTTTGGGACACGTGCTCAAAGTGAGCCCTGTGCGTGTTTGGCGAATTCGACGCCTATAGATAGATACATAGACAGACAGATAGGTACACGGATAGATAGAAGATCGATAGATACATAGATAGATAGGGAAAAGAAGCAAAGAAGAAAAGCGAAGAAAGAAAGAGAGATGCAAAAAGGAAAGAACAGCAAACATGACAAACAAGGAAGCACAAACGATGACACACACACAGCAAGAGGAGACACATACAGAAAACAGGAAGAGACATGAGCCATGGTAACTATAGTATTGTTTTTTGACACCTCCCCCCACTGGCTTCGCCGGCCCTTCTGGTAGGCTGCATTTACAAATCGGGGGAAGGGGTTCCTTTGTCAATCTAGAAGATACTACTCGTGCTTGGAAATGCTGGCGTGCCTCAGTTTTTGGACTTTTGGACTTCACACTTTTCCGGAAGATCATTTGGGGGTGTCTTGCAATGGTGAACCCGCTTTGTATGGCAGTTAAGGGAAATTGAAGAGGACAGCCTAAAAGCCTAGTCAGGACTTGTTCAGCCTTGATTTCCCGATGTTTTTGCTGCGAGGTATGATGTGGACGACGAAAGCGACTTGGAAGCAATGGTCGGCCCTGGTTAGGAGCTGCAGGAATTAGGATGTTCCCAGCTTCTCCACACAGCAGGATGTTTAGGCTGCAAGCAACTCCTGACTGAGGGGTGCCACGGCGACCTCTATGCGCTGATGGTGCGGCGCACCTTTGTCAATCTCGAGCACGCCCCCGGCGCGGACAGCGTGGTATGGGGCGCGGGGTGTGCTGAGCATGGGCAACTCCAGGGATGCGAGTCTCAGCCCGTTCCCCACTTCTTCAGTGGCGCGCGGCCCCCACGAAAATGTCTCAACCCCAACAGGGTTTCCTCCTGTCAGGTTATTCGGAAACTAGGATTTGCTCAAAAAACGTGAGGACTGTGCCCCATGTGCTCAAACTAGGTGTTTGTTTTCCTACTCTTTCTGAGCAGCCTTGCACCAGCCGATTTTCATTTAGCCAGTCATTTGGCGGGGTTCACTAGCTGGGATTGTCTCGTTCTCACAGTCCAGTCCACTTGTGAAGCGGCGCAAGATCAAGAATTTGGCTGGCCCCAAAGGCCTGAGTTTTACAAGCTGCGTGTGCCAGCTTGCCACAGGCAGAGTCAGGAACACGATGAACATTTCACATTTGCGTTGCGTACATCATTTATTCCTAAGAGATGTGTGACATGATACGCATGCCCTCCATTGAGGATAGGCTGAAGAGTCGCTAGCTTCTCACAGATGCGTGGAATGTAGATGGAACCAAGTTTAGAAGAAACTTCCGTATAGTATTGGAGCCAAGCAACGGCTAGCTGTCGCTTGAAAGTAGATGAGAGCGGAAGGAGAAGGGAAGAAAACGAAGAAGAGAACAAAAGCCTGTTGAGAGAGTGGAACAAGAGGGGACAAGTGTTCAGATTGCGTGACGGGTGCAGCACTTTGGGATAGAAAGTCAAAGTGGGCGCGTTCCGAGGAAGCGCAAGCCACCTCTGGCGCGGCGCCCGTTTTTTCGCGGGCGCCGGGGCGTGTGCGAAACCGGGTTCGGAGCCGGGCCCGTTGGCATGGATGCACTCGCTTTTCGCAACACGGGTTTGCATGACAGGTGGGGCGCTGCGGCAACCTGAAGCGAAGATTGCGTGCTGATGTCATGATGCGCGCAACACTTGCTCAAGGTCAGGTACACATTTTGTGACACGCGCAGGGCTTTCGCAGAGTCAGGCACAGATTATCTGACAGGCATTGACAGGCGCAACACTTTCGCAATGCTAGAACGCGCCGTTCGTAAATCCCAAAGGCGCGGACGCGCAACTTCACGCGCCGATATCGTGGCAGGCGCAACACTTTCGCAAGGTCAAATGCAAGTTTTGTGGCAGGCGCAGCACTTTCGCAAGGTCAGGCGCAGCACTTTCGAGGTAGATAGATAGACGGGTAGGAAGGGTAGAAAGATATGTCTATAGGTTGTTTTTTTTGGGAATGTTGTTTTGCATCCTGCTTGTGCTTCTTTTTTCTTTCGAGAACTTGTTGGATTAATGGCTCGAGGCTGCTTTGACAAAAAGAAGAGCTCGGTGTTACGGAAATGTTTCATGGGCTCTTCCGTGGATAGAAACTTCCGCCCACCGGCTTGGGGCTCTGCTGTTAGTATTACGTGTAAATTACTCAGTATATGTTTCATTGATACCTGTACTTGTTTATCTATCCACCTTCCCGTGGAATATCAGGGTTGGCCAGCAACGTCCCTTTTCGTGCTTTGGGGCCTTGCGTTCTTGCCAGGCGTGGCAAATGCTGAGAAGTGGCTCGGAGTGATTTTCATGCATCCCAGTTGTGTTTGCCTCTGTAGATGACCAGATGCTATTTTTCGTTTTGGCCCAGTGGTGCCAGGTTGTTGCCAAACCTTTGCCACTTTGTTTTTATACAAGTTCTATAGATGTAATATGATGCTTGTCTCGTCACCTACTGGTACGGTAGGTAAACGGAATCACGGAGAGAAGCACTTGCTTGTTCCAAGCAGGAAGGCAACACATGACCCTTCACGAATTTGGTTCATTCAGAACGGCAAACATGTCCCAGACTAAGTCAACAGCAGGATTGGGGGACCGTAGCACATTGGGCTGAATGTATACGCCCCCAACCCGAGCGCACACCTCTTTCTTTCTTGTGTGTTTGGAGGTTTCCCTTGAACAATTGCCAGAACAGGGTACCCTATCTCCATGGCATGAGTCTGGCAGGAATCCTTAGTTCGATTCAGTTGACCCTGCCCTACAAAAGTTGTTGCTGGGAAAATACCTGCTCAATTGCTCGCATCCCAAAGGATGACAGGTCCCAACACGTGGGCCGAAATTCTGTTTTGGATGCCTCCGGCCGAAGACCAACGGGATTACGCAGTACAAGCCGAAGAGTGTGCCTTTGGAAGGAGTGGCGGTGCTGTTGGCGGGGTCCTAGGTTGGGAATGTTCTGAGGTAACTTACTTTTTCCGTGTTTCTCAATTTTGGTGAGATTTGGAGAGGCAAGGCTGCCGATGCACTTGGTACAAGTGGGCTTCTCCGTAGTGCCATCTCCCTAAACAGGGGTCCTAGCAATTCATCGATAGTGGTAGTTGTACTCAGCTGATGTCAGTCATTTGGGAAGATCATGTTCGTGGACTTTTGGCCCATCCACTCAGTAAAGGACACCAGTTTGCCCAAAGCTGACTTTTGTGGACGCAGCATTCGACAGCCCTGCTAGAAACATGGACCCAGGCCAGTGGGCTGTTGGTGGGTTGGGCTTGGGTTGGGTTTGTTGGCAGAATGCCTTTGAAGCGCATGGTTTTCGCAACATTCCAAGGCGCAGCTCTTCTGCTCCTCTGCAGAAGAGGCAGGGCTTGGCAGTGCTGCTGAGGGAATTCTTGCCGATGTGTGTATGTCTATACATATATTACTGTAATTTATATATATATATATGTAATATTTGTATGTTGGTATTTTTCTCTGTAACGCATGGGTCAGACAGCTCGCCTGTGGTTTTGTGGTTTGGGTGGCCTTGAAGTTTTAAGGAGCACCTCTGCCCTCCAATTGAAATACTTATGGGATTTGTTCCATTCTCGGTGCCCATGGACCCGGTTTCCTGCACCCAGCAGATCCCATGCTCAGGAGAACCAAATGACCAAAATGTGGGGCCAATTTTTCCTGCAGCAGATTTAGTGTGAGACCCTACCACCATAAGGTCGTCTAAGATAAGCCAAGGCAGCTAAGGTGATTGTTGGTTGTCACAAGCTGCTCGATGGTAGAATCCGCGAACATAGCATCACAAAGGACCCTTGTGCGGCCCTCCTTAGCGCTGCTCACCGTCCCAGAACACTGAGCTAGATTCAATTGATGGTTTCCCGGCGCTTTTCTATTTGCTTTTATGGCAGCCATTTGTCTGTGAACTCCCATTTTGCATGGTGTTACGTGGAACTCCGAAAAGAAATCACACATGTGGCATCCCTTAACTTGACACTCCCATTTGAGAATTTATACAATGGGTGTTCCAGAGGAATTAGGGACTCCACACGGTCGTTGTTGGGACACATTTTACATTTTTGCTTATTGTGGTTTAGTGGGAAATCCCCACTTAACAGCTAAAGTTTAAATTTTGCTCCCCCTTCCAACGTGAGTGGGTTCTCTTTGCTTTTTCTGTGTGAACCATCCGAATCCGAGGGAATATCAACTTTGAGAAGCCCACTCAGTTCTGACTCACCTAAGAAACCACAGGACTTCAGCCTTTTGCCGATCCAGTGGATAGATTGAACGAAGCTCAACGTCAAGGTCCTAAGGAATCTGTGCCAGGAAAAAAGCTCACAGCAGGCGGTGTTTGGATGTCTACCGGAACCCTGCAAGCCGAGCCGCGCAGGTGGGATCTTAGAACTCGTTCACCGCACCTGCCTTCGAACTTGCGATTCTGCGTTCCAGGGTCCATCACATTTTGAGGGTTTTCTAAATTGGTTTTGGTGGGGTGAGTCCCTCGCAACAGTTTCCAGGAATTCTTGAGGATGTCACTTGCATGGATCTACGGGCATTCAACCTCAAACATCTGCATGGGATTGGCGGTTTTCTCCGTCCGCGTGGCGAGCTGCCAAGCCAAAGTTGAAAAACCCTCTTAACTGGACGACCCCTTTCTTGGAGAAGCCAAAGCGATGTTTTGAGTGTGGGGCCCGACACCCCCCCCATTGCGCCCATTGGGAGGTGGAAGAAGCCCTGGGACCAACCGTCCATGTGGCTTGAGCACCAAGCGCGCCGCTGCAAACCTTGCTTCTTCTTCCACACCAAGGCCCAGACGCCGGGGGATTCCACAAAGCATTTGAGTAGGTTCAACGAGGGTTTATATAATCCTTTTTGATCAGACAAGAACCAAACGTCGCTGGGTGTTGGTCGCTTCCGCGTTGGGTTGCGAAAACGCCAAAGTTGCGTCCATGGAGCAGCACGAGGGGATGCTTTATCTCACGGAGCAAGCGCCGTTGAAGGGCTGCCATGGGAATATATACACACAACTCCCCAAAGGGGACATGACAGACTTAGCAGTGTTTTCATCAGCGGGGCAGTGTTTACTCAGACGGAGCGACATGATCTCCCCGAAGGTTCCAATCGAACGCGGCTGAAGCGAAACCTTTCCCCTTTTGGTGCGACTCCCGGCTTTTCGACTTGTGCGCAGCCCAAGTCTGGTATGTCTTGACATAGCCGCAAAATGGGTGGGTGTTCATATTTGGTTTCATAGGCCAGATTTTCGTGCAGGCCCTGGTGGTTCTCTTTGTCTTCCAGATTATGAATAACGGTGCCGAACTTCCGGACCATTCTTAACTATTACGAGCAAGAGAGGTAGAGTTGAATGATTGAGCCACTGCCACGCTTCTCGATTTCGGCAGCCTGCCGCTGGGCCTTTTTTTTTCAGCACACGTATGCAACGCTCTGAGTTGCTTGTTTTGGGATTCGCCTCAAACTGTTTGCAGAAGGGAAATGTTTGGCCATGCTCCATGGACCTAACACTTTCCCCGAACGAACAGCCACCATGAATCCAAGAAGAAAGCTGTCCCTCAAAGGTAGAGTTGCAGTACCTGCCTTCCCCCCCCAATGTGTGCAATAGGCCAGCTTGCCATGTTTTTGCAGGGCGTGCACTGTTGCAACTTCCCTAGAGTCATGATCTTGACAGATCCGTTTCCGAACTGACTCTCTTAGCAGATTCAGGGAAACTGGATCCAGAGGAAGGTCTCAGCGCGCAGGATCTGCCTTCCAACAAAAAAAGGGCACTCGCGTGCCATGAAGTGGCTTCTTATTGCATAAGACTTAGTGTTTTGTTTGGGTAGACTTAGGCAGAATTTGAAACAGAGTCAAACAATGTGTGTTTGGAGTACACCAGATGTGGCCCAAGTTAAACAGTGATGTCGAGTGGTGTTGCGTTATCGGGAGATTCGCTTGTGCTGTGCTTCAATTATCTGTCAGTGCATGTCAGTCTGTTTGTCTGTGCTTGTTTCAATTATTTGGTACTTTTTTGTTGGGTTGATTGTTTGTTTGCTTGTGTTGAGTAGTGATGTTGGCGTTCGTTGCTGGTATTTGTGTCTGAGTGTGTTTGTCTGTGCGTGTGTTTGTGCGTGTCTGCGTGTGAGTGTGCGCGCGCGCGTGTGCGTGCGCGTGTGCGTGTGCGGGCGCTTGGGTGTGTGGGTGTGTGGGTGTGGGTGTGTGTGTGTGGATCATCCTAGATCACGGATGGAAGGCTTCACCGACAAGCTGAAGCTTCGTGTGTCAGGGGGATGGAGCAGGCCTGTGGAGCTCCATCTAACAAAGCTCTCCACAGCGACCTGAGTTTATCACCAGGGACGCCTGGTGACGTACCTGCAGCCAATTTTGTTCCCTAAGTTTAATGGCTCGATGGTTGTTTGTGTTGTTCTGTTTGTGTTGCTTTCCTAAACGCATGAGTTGACGCATGACCTTTGTGATTCACCTGTATTCCAAAGTGTGTACGGCTCGGCTTTCCGAGATGGCGCCGAGTTTGACGCGTTACCATGCCCAGCTCCTCACTGAGGAGAACATTCTCGTTCCGGGCACCTGCTGGTGCTGGACCCGTGACGCCGCCCCTCCCAACTCACAGACTCTTACGTCTCACCTGAAACTCCGTTCAGCGCTTTCTGTTCATTCAGATTCAGCATTCAGACCCGTGTCGTGTCCCCGTGACGATAGGCTGCGGCAGGTTTGGTTGGTTTTTCCGCGTTGCCTTCTCCCAGTCGGGCTCAAAACAAGTCAAGTGATTTGCGAGTTTGAATTTCGACACCATGCAGACCCGACATCATCAGCGAGTGGATTCGGTGATCACCTCGTACACCTTTCCTGGAACCACCTCAACGTTCACTCGGACTGCAGCAACGTTCAGGGCCCGACGCCCCACATGCCGGCAAGTGCACGTCTTGGACTTCCACACCGGAATCCATCGTCTTCTTCTGCGACTGACTTTGGCATTCACAACCCATGCCGCGACAACCTTACACCCATCATCCCTTCTTCTTTCTCACAACCACCACTCCAAGCACTTGCCACTCCACCTGCTGCTGCTCAACCACACCAACAACACACCTGCCCGACCTGCGCCTTGTCAACCTCAAACACCACATCCCGGCGGGACGAGGAACCCGTCTATTTCACGAAGCCGCTCTTTGCCAAGACATCGCCGTTCATCAACGCATCGCCACGGCGCACCAGTGATTCTACGCCCCGCTCCGGAATCCAGACGCAACACACATCGCGATCGCAGCCGTGACCGACGACGGGATCACGCCGCGCACTCCCGCGGACGCGACCGCCGTGATCGTCAGCCACGTCATTCACGGCGGCGTGATTCTCGGCGACGTGTTCACATCGACAACCTCGGCAAGCACATCATCACACACCCGTTCTAGTCGTTTGCGGACATGAGGAGTCTCGCCGATCAAACTCATGGTTCCAAGCGCACGCATGGCTCCCTACCTACAAGAACCCAACATGCCCATGGTGATGCTTGACATTTGCATCCTTGTGCTTGAGTTGATCGTTTGCATGGACTGCGCACCGTCATGGCAAGCGGAACTGCGCGACCTCTTGACCCAGACCCGGGACATGCTCTCCGTAGCGCTCGAGTTACTGGACACCTTGGGCAGGATGTTCCAATGCAATGCCCGGCAAGCCCATTCACGACATTGCGCACCCGGAGCTTTTGGCAATGGCCCCCATTCCGGGACAAAATCCTACTACCTCCACTACTTTCATCCCGAACAGCACTCGCACCTCCGACCAGCATCCACCACCAACTGGCATGGAGCCACTTCACACTCCGTTTCCAATACGAGCCAAGACTTCTGCCACCGACACGTCCGACGACCTATCCATCGACCACCGCCCCGCGGCACCAACGGCCATCCCCGACTCAGACCACCGATTAGTCCAATTCCATTATACCTCACAATCCCAAGGCTGACACGAACCTCAACGGCGTGATACCTATACCGGCCTACCTGTCACTACCTCTCCAACAGCACTCGACCCCTCGATCTTACTACATCGGATCAACAACGGCCAGCTCACGGTTCGGCATCGTCCACACCCACTGACGAATGGTCACCCGATTGCCTGCGTCGACAGAGAGATCTCAAGACTAACGTGCACGGCCCAGTTGCAAAGCCATCGGTCAGATCTTGAGCAAGCCTCTGCCGAGACGGTGAAGTCCAAGTGGTTTGAGATCAAAGATCAAAGCCCGTAAGCCCGCTTGCGTGAATTCTTGTGTCTTTGCCTTGTGAATAGGAACCGGCTTCTTGCTCTGCCGAAAAAGCGGCGCCTATGTGTGTGGATTATCTTAGATTACGGATGGAAGGCTTCACCGCCAAGCTGAAGTTTTGTGAGTCAGGGGACGTACTTTGGTTTGGCCTGGAACGAATCTGAAGTTAAGGGGCACTTGACTTTTTGGGTTCTCACATCAACATCGAGGCACGGTGGCGCCTGTATGTGTGGATCATCCGCTTCACCGACAGGCTGAAGTTTCGTGTGTCAGTGGGACGGAGCAGGCCTGTGGAGCTCCATCTGACAAAGCTCTCCACAGCGACCTGAGGATATCACGTGCAATTTTGTTGTGTGTTCCGCTGTTGCTCCCCTAAGTCCAATGGCTCGATGGTTGTTTGTGTTGGTCCGGTTGTGTTGGTTTCCGAAACCATGAGTTGCCGCATGACCTTTGTGATTCACCTGTATTCCACAGAGAGAGAGAGAGAGTGTGTGTGTGTGTGTTTGTGTTTGTGTTTGTGTTTGTGTTTGTGTTTGTGTTTGCGTTTGCTTGTGTTTGTGTTTGCGTTTGCGTTTGTATTTGTATTTGTGTTTGTGTCTGTGTTTGTGGTGGTTGTGGTTGTGGTTGTGGTTGTGGTATGGATGCTTATAGACTTCTTACAGAAGTGGTACGTACATAACCTGCATACCTCAAACACCCACGCCTGCAGCCGCTTTCGGTTTCCTGTTTCCCTTTAAACGGGGCCAGATCCAGCGAAGACAATTTCCGGACGGCTCCCTTTGAGGGGGAAGAAGTGCAAACAAGCGACCCCCAGCCAGGTTCAATGATTTTGTGGGTGGGATGGTATATAATTGCCTGAAGAACTTAAATCACGGACCGGTTGTGGTTGTGTTTGTGTGTGTGTGTTTGTGTTTGTGTGTTGTGTTTGTTTGTGTTTGCGCGTGTGTGCTTGATTGATTCTTTGCGATCGAGTCGAGGAACGAAACTGATCCGAAGACTTGCGACATGCTGGCGAGCTTGTGCTGTCACGCCTAGTTTCGGGATATTTTGAGAAGCAATTTTCACTGAACACGTACCAATTTGACATTCGCACAGGCACGAAAAAGAGATCCAAACAAGGGATGCGTTTGTGCGACCTTTTCAATTGGAAACGCGGGACACCAGGGTCCAACATTGAATCGGACCGTTTCGAGTTTTGAATAATTCCTCCCATTCTTCTTTAGCGGCACCTTGTTTTGTCTTTTTGCTTGGTGCATTCCCCACTAGAACCAGTTGACCCCCTCACTCCCGGACTTTCTATACGCTATGGGAAGAACCATCTTAGCGTGAACAACAAATTTGGGTTTTGTCCAATCTGCTGGTTTGACGCTCTGGGTCACTGCTCCACCCAACAGCTGGAGGCTGACGGCTGCCGCAAGGGCGGTCAATGCGACCGCTGTCACTTTTGCAGCGCCCGGGAGGTCAAGGCATTCAAGTTGCGCAGGGCAGCCGAGATATGAGAACCATTCGACGGAAGGGAATGGTTCCCACTCTAACTAGGGAACTGTTTGTCGCCTTCGGAGACAGAATTGGCGAGGGTCTTCCATTGACATCATCGAAGTGGGTTCCCGAACCTCCCTTTTGGAGAATTGGGCAAATTAAGGCCTTCTATTGGTACATACAGTGGCTAGTTTCCATGGCCGTCTGGGCAAATCGCGATCGATTCTTGGAGGAAGACAAACGATTTTCTCCTGCATTACTCGGGGATTCCCTATGTGAAATGTGTCAATCAGAGTCATTTGCCCAGGCCCAACAGGCCCGAGCTTCTATGAATCAACAGTGAAAATCCATCGACCTTTTTCGCCCAAAGGACACCAAGGGATATCGTTTGCCGGCAGCTTCTCCCAAGCTACAGCCATTGGGTTAGCCGAGGCTACCCGAGTTGATTGAGGTAGGCCGCGAACCAAGGCCCCCCCAAAAATCTGACCGTGCTAGGTTGGAACCTACCCAGGCGAACCTGGCCGAAACCCAAGCAGTCCGGCTCAACCGCCCCTGAAAGCCCTTGGTGTGGCTGTAGTCTGGATCAAGGATAAATTTGAACAGATTGTCGATTGGTGACCTGGGCTTTGTTCCGAGGCAGCTTGACAATCAAGCATGGAATCCAAGGGTTGACCCAGGACCATGTCAAAGAATCAAGAGGGCGAATATCCGCTGCCTTGACCTTGACTAGCTTACGGTTTCAATTTGGGCGCTCTTGGCTAGGTGTTAAACAGGGAGTAAGGCAACTCCTTGCTGCTTCTAAAGTTGGCAAGTGAGTGCGTGAAGCGGGCTTCTGTTTCTCTTTGAATGGATTTGGACGTGTTTTAAGGGAAGTGGAAAAGAAAGCGCATGTTGAGGTTTCTGGCTGCAATGTTCTTCCTAAACCCAGTATAAGCAGGATTTGCAGAAGTGCATTGCAGTAGATCTCCCCAATTTAATCTCATTCCTACATAAAAGCGAAGGAATCACTATGGATAGTGCTATAAACAACATGTTGGTTATGTCTTATTTCCTGAATTCCTTTGAATTCTCAGAATATAGGTTCGCTAGTCCGTCCGGTTTCTTACGGGGGACCCTTCAGAAAAAGGAGAAAACTTCTCGTGAAGCGTTTTTAGCGTTGCGCTATGCGGCAGCGTTTCGCGAATGTCCCAACCCAAACGGCATTGCCATCCCAAACGTGTCGTGCGTGCATCTTCCATGTCAGGGGGGTTTCAACAGGGTTCGAATTAGAGGTTCGATGTGAATCGATCCAAAGTTGGAGCGTGGGGGTCGTGGAACATTCTCACAACCATACTTTTATCAGACACGTAACCCTTAATTGGTGGGTTGGACTGGTTCTTGGGATTGGACCCTTAGTTCTTGTAGAGGGTAGGCAAACCACCCAGTAAACTTCAAACCACAATTTCGCGTGCTGCATCTAGGTTGCGGGTAGCAACCCGTTGAGCCGTTTGTTCGAAACTGTTTAGGATCCGCCACCAACACAAGCCGACCGTCATGTTCGATTGGGTGTGGACTTTTGACATGGTGTAGGCGGCGTAGGCATGGAGTGAGCAAGTAAAACGACGATAAGGCCCCACACAAACCAAAAAAACAACACCGCCCACTTGGGGATCCTGGACTTCAGGTCGAATCATTTGCGCAATTGCAGATAGAATGATTTGTAGTTTCTGACCATATTGTAAAGTTAATGGTCATGGCCCTCTCACTAACGCCACAAAGACCTGCAAGACGATTTCGTTTTGGAATCCATGGTTCCGTCATAGTGCCATGTTGGTGGGCTGCTGGTTTGTTTCATTGATGTTTGGAGGCTGGGCGGTTCAAAGACAACGAAGCATATGTGGTGTTGTTCCGCTGCGTTTTTCTAGCCGGGATGACGGATTGGATGTCGGCAATTCCTCCTTTTGAACAGCCCAATTAGAAACTGTATGAAACTAGGCGGTAGGATAAACTCCGCTCACTTTCAAACCAAGCTGAACTTAGTGCTAGGACGGACCAAACAAATGCTCCTTTCGGGAAGGATCCAGCATTGCAGTCCAACTCTTTGGGATTTCACAGTGCAATGTTTGCACTGGACATGGATTTATCAGGGACCCTTCCGCCCGAACAGTCCCGAACGGGCCTTATTGCTCTAAGGCTTATCAGCCCCTTCGGGAGTTCCTCGGAAGGTGTTCTCTTTGTGACATGGAAATTGGACCTCCGCGTTTGGTGGAACAGGACTCCTTTCCCAAAGCGACTTTTGGAGAATTGTGTAACCAGGGCCTGAAATGGCCCCCGACGTAAAAAGAAAGAAAGAGAAGAAAACAAAGAACAACAAAAAGCCCGAGGCTTGCAGCGCGCTCGCAGCCGCAACTTTGGAACCTGAGGCGTCGGAAACGTGCGAACAAGCTCATTTGGCGTTCAGCCAGTCAACAGCCAGCCACCCGGTGTCACACTCGATCAGCTTGTCTTAAAATGGGAGTAGCGATGGGAGGCGTGCTGCTTCGTTTTGGTTTGTTCGGGTTCTAAACACAAGGAGTCCCGTTTCTACCAGGGTCATTTGGGATATCTTGAGCTTAATTTCTCCCGTTTGTTTGTCTCAACAAGTAAAATTATCCCTGCCCTTGGTGTCCCTTAGGACCACACAAAGCACCCTCAAGCACATGTATTGCGCGGCATAGTTTAAATCGGCATAGTAATTGAAGATCATGTTTCTAGATGCGGACGTCTTTCGTTCGGATGGTTGCAAGGAAAATGCCTCGCCCCTGATTTGAGACATCCTGTGCTTGCCCATGTTGGAATCTGAGTCCGGACAGGACCACGGTTGGCCGAATCGTGCCGAATCCAATCCCAAATAGAATGGCGCCAGTTCGCGCGGAATATGAGCCGCTGACAAGATTACTCAGGGTCCCTGAAAGGATGCATTTGGGCCAATTGAACAATCACCTTCAACTGATTTGGAGAATCCACTTGCAAAGAACCTCGAATTTTCCCAAAACCAGGAAGACGCCCCAGTCCCCCATGGCAACCACTAGATTTTGTTTGGAGCTCGGCTCATATTTTTGAATTGTGTAAATGACCTTTTGATGAAAGGGTCCAAATAGGGGCCGAAATGCTTGAGCTCCTTTTTTTTCCCCTGCACCCCAAATGGGCACAAAGTCTCAAAAAGTTCGGGTGGTATCCCCGACTGTGAACCGCCCGGAACGGAACCCTACTGAGCTACTCCAGAACTCTGGATACCTTCAGCGGACGACAGGAACCGCGTATTTTGTGCTTGTCCAGCTCGCATTTTCGGCCAACCGAGTTAAGATCTGCTGGGCGGAGTGTTTCACCGACTGAACTTGTCATTGTGAATATAGCTCAAACTGTGCTGTGTTGGAGCAGCGCCCAAACCCAAGGGCCGTTTTAGTTTTACCCGGTTTAATACTGTGGGTGGACGGAATCCAATTCGCACCACTTTGAAACCATGGTTGAAAGCATTGTTTGGTAGGGCCGGCTTACGATCATGTTAGCCACAAGAGTCAGGCGCTGCTCCTTTGCTCACATAGTGCAGGGTTTCAGCTGGCAGCAGGGCCGCAGCGTCCATCCGTCGGACCCAATGACAGCTTGTTTCCCCCTTGTCGCTGTTTGAAACGTGTCACTCCATGCTAAACGTGTATATATATATATATTTATAGGTTTCTTTTGGGAGTGGTCTGAGGTCATGCTAAACGTATAGGTGCCACTTTTGGAGTGGTCTGAGGTCTGTTGTTCTGTTCCTGCAGAAGCTCTTGCTTCGTTTGTTGCTCCTCCTGCTTTTGGCTTTAGGCCCGGTGTCTACCCCACCTTAGGCATCTTGACAAAACTTGCCAACGCAACGATCCCAGCTTTGGTCTGGTTGGCAAGCAAAATAGGGAAACCCCCCTGGTTTCCCTTGATACCAACCTGAAAAAGTGCGGAGCCTCAATTTACACGAGCCCCTTTTCTTCGGGGTCAGGTGGTGTGTTTGAGAGGAGCCCCAATGGGGTGTGTGATCTTCGTACACCCCTTCATATCGTCATGGCAATTGACAATTAAGATTGAGTTACGAATCTTAGGCCACGGTTCAACATCATGTTGAGCAGAATCAGGCCGGAGCCCATCCATGACTTGACCAAGACAGATGATACTGTGGAGGGATAAACTCCTGCAACTGGTGGTTTCTTCCAGTATTCCTCTTTCAAACTTGTGTGCTTTTATTTTGTTGTCTTCGTTTAGTGGCGGCTGGAACCTTTGTTCCCCACCCGGCAGGTTTGGGGTTGTCAGAATCTATTTGCTACCAGCCCGCGCGCCGACAGAGCCTGTGACAAACAGCTGCAACAGAGCTCATGACTGACGGTGACGGACAGATGTGACAGCCAAGCAAGCTTCTCAGATGGATTTCTCGAAGTAAAGTATTTCTCAAAGAAAAAGCAACTTTGAAAACCCTTCTGTGTTTGAACCATGGTATTGGTCCGCTGTTTCAGAGCCAATGCTTCGGAGATTTGCCGCGGTCGTAAAGTAGGAACCCCAGATGAACACATCAAACCCTTGGTTGATGTTGATGGGGGGCCCCCTTTTACTCCTCACAATCAGGCAATGCCATGCCTCTGAATGAACATGTTCTTGGAGCTTCCTTCAGGACTTCTTCTAAATAATCCACGAACGCACCAGGGTTCCCACACAAATCCAGGGGACACCAAATTACCCATGTTCTCTTCTGCAACAAGTAAAGCTGACAGTGCTTGGACTGCGCAGTGGACTACGCCCTCATTGCGGGAACACTACCATGGCTTTTGTCGTTGTGTTTGGCTTGGTTTGATTGGTTGGCTGATTGATTGGGTGCGTGGTCAACCTCGTAGTCTTTTTTGGGCGGGTGTGTTTGCTTTGGGTTGGTGGTTGGTTGGTTGATTGTCGGAGAGCAATGAATCAGCAAATGATGATGAGGCTTCTAAGAGGGTTCCTCAATTCGGGAATTTTCATGTTTACCCGCGTTGATGTGGGAGTTTGGCCGAGTCGAACCCAAACACCAACTTGGAAAAGGGTTTTCTCCCTTTCCTACAAAGAAATGAACTTTTTCGAGGGCAGGGTGTTTGCCATGCGGTTGAAGGCACCACGCGGCTTGGCAGCCACTGCTAACATTTCTTGCCTCAGCCAGAGGCAGTTCGGCGTCGAGCCACCTCGCAACCTATGGGTGTTTTCTCAGGGGCCAGCACTTGTGGCTTCGCTTCGGGAAGCGAAGGAAGGCCCCCGATTCAACTGCAGTAAGCCATGGCGTGGTTGGGTGTGCCTCTAACAGGAAGTAAGGGAGCCAGGAAAAACCGGTGTACTTGCAATCGGGCAACCGTATCAGACTTGCCCCAAATTCCGAAACCAAAGGGCTTGGACCGTGTTTAGCTGGTAAGTCCTCGCAGGAAACACCCAGGTTCTGCAGGTTCCGCCGTTCGGTTTCCAGATCAGCTCTCGCGCTCGAGCAGCTCTAGCTTGCCGCGCAGTTCGAGCAGCTGCTGATGCGGCTGTATGCAGCTGAAAAGCAGGGCAGGTGGCAGGGAAGGGCCAACGACATTTTGCAGAACCTTAACCTTGAAAAAATGGTTTTCAACCTGTTGCTCACCAAAACCACGGTTGTCCAGCCAAAAACCTGGTTTTGCTTTAATATAAATCGTGCAAAACCATACAAAGCCCGTATGCTTGCTCGCTTTTCACAAACTGGGTTTCCCCGCAGACCTTGTTATTTTTGAGAACCTTTAGAATAAAAGGTTCTTGGAGAAGAGTATCTGGGGTCTGGGGTGCCTAGTTGCATGTCACCCAACCCTGCCGCAAATTGCCCCATCTCAAGATTCCGCAAGTGCGCTTTTTTTGCTGGACCCACTAAAACAATCAACAGCCTCATGTCACGCAGGCGCACTGCGGAGCGCGCCCTTTTCAGGGCGCCGGACCACATGTGGGATACTTGAGCTGGTTACCGGCGCTCCGAGCAGATGACATATCAGGAGAACTCCATGAGTTAGTCCACAAGACCATGCCAATCAGCGGGTTGGCCCTGAAATCCTTGGATGTTAAGGGGGTTTCCACCTGACGGGCCACACACAAGAACTCAGGGCTATGCCAGGGATGGATGTGAAGGTTCTTTCTTTGGCAGTTCCAGCGCTCAGACCGCTGAACAGCTACAAGCACCGAGGCTAAGTCACACCATTGTGGGGCAAGAGTCGCATCACGTGGCGCGGCAGTCATAAGGAAGAGGCTTCCAAGCGCCAATTGGTCTCTCGGGGATGACCCACTCTTTCCCAAGACAAAGTGCGCAAGCTGTTCTCTTGAGTTGCAAATGGACCCCAGAGAATTAAAACCCTGAAGTTTCCAAACACTGATCGGTCTGCGCAAGTCAACCTTCATACACTGTGATGGAGCATCCATTGCAATCCCTGCGCTAAGCAAACCCCCATGGATGCGCAAGATCAATCCCCCCAAGCCGTAATGGAATGCCACTGTAATCCGTACCGTATATTCAATTGCCACCCCCGCGGGCACAACGGATCGATGCGACTTCTGCCGAGGGGTGTGACTTAAAGCGGCCGAGGCGCCAGCCGGCATCAAGACGTGTCCGAGGTATCCCACCACGCACGCTTGCGTCAGGGCGACTGCCATCGCGGCATGCTTCATCCAGAGCCTGGGCCCGTCGCCAACGTGTCCACATCTTTCCTTGCAAGCGGTAGACGCATCGCGGGGTGGCCCCCATAATTTTAATGATTTGTACTCCATAATTCAAGTTTCCCTTTTGTGACGACTAGGAAAATGGCATTCGTAGCCACCCTGCGTGTTTCGGGGATGCGTTCACCGCTTGAGCAGCGCCCACGACACCAATCGCGTTTTTATTACTCCCTGGTTTTTAAGGGGATTGTAGCGAGGCCCAAACATTATTTATCACCGTGTTGGCAGAGCCAAAAGTCAATGGTGCTTGGCCGCTGCAAGTTGCCAAGATCTGTATGGGCGCTGAGCAGTGCTTGTGGCTGATTGCATAGGCTGGAAGGCTGCGTGTTAGACACCCAAAATTAGGGCTGTGCTGTTTTTGCCTTCCCTTTCCCTTTCTTTTTCTTAATTGTTGTTTCAATATTTAACTTTATCTTCTTGTTTATCCTTCACGTCGTTTCTCTTTATCTTTATCTTCATCTTTCTCAACATCTGTATGTATGTATGTTCTTCGTTTATCTTTATCTTCGCCTTTCTGTGTTTCTTTTTTCGGTCGCTTTCTGTTTGTGTGTTTTACCTGTTGTGTTGCCAAAATTATCATTACTATTCATTTGTTATATACTTATCTATCCTCTCTCTCTCTCTCTCTATCTCTCTTTCTGTTTCTTTCTCTTCACTACAGTTTCTCTTTCGCTTTCTCTT